TTAGGCAATAACTGATTAATGAAGTAACTTCATTTCTCGATATTCGATGAGAAATGCGGTTTTTACGAGCGAGCGAGCGCAGCGAGCGAAGCGAAGTCATTTCAATATAACGGAAAAATCTCAGTATGAGCGGCCCGGCCTGTAACGCTTTTGAGAGGCTTATATCTCAGCAACCGCTGGACCGATTGGCCTGCGGTCTTTTTTGCTGGGTAGCCCCATCCCTTCTACCCCGTAATTGACTACTGTTGATACATCTCAGTGACCGTCGTGGCACGTGCCACGTGAAAAGTCAAGGGTGTTCAAGCAGTTTTGCAAAAGTAGTGATTTTGAGAGGCCCATATCTCAGCCGCGGCTTGAACGATTGACTTGCGGTAAATTTTATAGGGTAGCCTACCAAAGGTCGGATACTCTTGATCTATGTGAGTGACCCTCAGTGCACGTGCAAAATACAACAATAAGAGGTGCCAAATTTGTTCCCATTTCAGTAACTCGGTAATTACGGGGGCGATTTCGCTGAAACTTGGCATACAGGTAGGCAACCACCAGGCAATGCATTCCCATGTGTTGCGGTTAGGGCGCTACTGCACGTGCGCACATGCAGGGGGCGTTTCCAGATCTCGAGAACGGCTGGGCCGATTGCGCTCAAATTTGGTACACGGTTGGGGACCGGTTAGTAGGGTGCCGTGCAAAAGTCAGTTTGGACCCCGTTTGCACTTGCGCACGTGCAGAATGCCGCTTCCAGATCTCAGGAACGGCTGGGCCGATTGCGTTCAAATTTGGCACACCGCTAGCGACCGCTTAGAAGGGTGCTTTGCACAAACCCGTTGGAAGTACCCTCTTACTGGTATTATGAAATGCCTGTTTCACTTGACAAAAATGTGATAAAAGGACAGGAAGTGAGAGCTAAAGCGCTATATGTAAATACATGAGTCTGGTCGAAACGTTCGAGCATCAACTGGAAGGGTATCTTGGACCACTAGCCGCGTTTACACAGGTTTTGTTGCGAGTCCTTACCTTCACCCAAAATATAGGAGAACGTGCCATTGACGCTTTGAAACAACCAAAATGTTTTCATTTATCGCTACGAACAGCATTGCATCGAAATAAAGGAAGAATTAATGTGTTAAAGATTCGCCAAAAAACCTATGTAGCCAGGCATACTGTTAAAGTAGCAATATCCTTTACTGATTATCATTTATCAAGCGCTGAGTTGCCCGCAAACCTGACCCAGCCAACCTAGCATTTCCACTGTACGTACGTTTTCTAAGTAGCGTTTTACTTTCCCGCGTCCCATCACAAAGCTTTAACTGTGTGGGCGACACTCGCACGAGGACGAACTCTACAGAATATCACCGGCCATACCCGGTGAGCCGTTATCGTACGTACCGTCACGGCACCGCGGGATCTCGGGACTCTATACCCGCACCGACCGGGCCCGCTGATTGATATACAGGTGCTGCTGGGGGCGGTCCCGGCCGAGACACCGCGGCGCCTATCGCACCCAGCTGAGTCACCGATACGGTACGCATCTCCCGGCCAGTATCAGTCTCACCTGTACCCGATATATCAGGTGTATAAAACTGTCTGCACTGGGAGGGAGCTCATCAGTCTGCCTCTGCGGCCCGGGAGAGAGTGAGGGAGCCCACACCGTCCCACGGCCGTCTCAGTGTCCGTGACTCACAGACAGACTTCCACAGCCTTCCACAGCGGCCGGCCCGTCTACCCAGGGCACAGAGAGTGATATAGCCCACCGCCGTCCAGAGGCCGTCCAGAGGCCGCCCGCCAGGCGCCTGAGAGAGACCACCGCGTCCCTCTGCCGTCCAGAGACCGTAGACCGGCGGCCCGGGAGCAGCGGCAGCGATGCTGCGCGCCGCCGCCTGCCTGCTGGCGCTGTCGGCGGCCGTGGCCGGCTCGACGAGCGCCCCGGAGCGCGCCGTCTGCGCCTTCCAGCAGCAGGAGCAAGAGTTCGGCACCGACGGCCACCCGGTCACCATCCAGGTGGCCGCCGACCGCGAGAGGTCGCCGTGCGGCCCCGGCCGCCGGTGTCAGCCGCTGCGCTGGAACGTCGACTACTGGCAACGCGGCGAGCTCATGCAAAAGACCGTCACCGTGGCCTGGGTGTGCGCCGCCGTCGAGCCGCCCGTGGCCGCCGCGCCGCAGCCAAAGCTGTCCGGTGGCCGCCGCCGCCGCCGCCGCCGGGACTGGGATCGGAGCGGTGCCGGGGAGCGGCGGCCGGCACAGGGGGCGCGGCGGACCGGCCGGCGGCGGCGGCCGGGCGGCCCAGGGGCGGCCAGGCGCCGACTCTGAGACCGACCAGCGCAACGGTGTATGGGAGACCATACCGGACTGATGCAGTGATACACTGGTGAATGGGAAGAGCAAGGCCTTTGGCTTCAGCTTTAGTGTAATGACATTTTTTATGCTGTGATTACTGAATCTGCATTCATTTTTAGTGATAAGAAATGACTCTTGAGTGTTGAGTGTATGCGTGCTTCATGTGAGATGGGCCGCTGGGCACCATTCATCAATGCATCGTATGTCATGACAGTGGCGACGGAAGCGGGGAGGGGGGGGCAGTGGGGGCACGGCGCCCCCGTCTTCCAAGGGGGGCAAACATATCTTGCCCTAGCGAAATTGTTATCAATGAAATACCATCATACTTCCGTTCTACGTCATGAACATATGCCAGTTTGGCTGAGTACTTTTTTTTATTAAGTTGATAGAGTGAGTATTTTGGATTGATATTGTTGTCAAGGTCGTCGTACATATTTTGATCACTTATTTGCTAGCATTTTACAGTGCGAGTGCTACCAACCATTACCAAAAAGGTTTGCAATAATTGGCTAACTTTAATGACGTCATTGGTTCAAATGAAACAAGTTGTTCAACGCGAACAACAGTCACGGTGACAGCCACAGTACCTATATGGTGCAGCACGTATTTGAACTGGACTGGGAGGCACCGTGCCCCCCCCCCAACCCAAATTACCGTCCGCCGCCTCTGTGTCATGGCATTTAGAAGACTAATGAGAACTGCAATTTTCATCCTTATTTTCCAGTTCCTCGTTTTCTGAGAACAGCTGTTGAACTAGTTCCTCCTCCATGTAAAAATTACCGTGCCATTCAACAATGATACAGAATGCAGAAAGCGCCAACCGGAGCATTGCGGTGGTAAACAGGGCGCATCATTTGGCCTCCATGGCATTAGCCCGTCTTCATACCGATGGGCTGTGCGCTATGTCTTCACATCAATGTACGTAACTGATGACCGCTGTGATGTATCCCCGAGTCCAGTTGTTATAGACTCCCGGTGTACGGTCCGTCCGGACGCCGCGGTCCGATGGACTCTCTCACCCTCCTGTCGTGTGCTGGCGCCCCGTGTAGCGGGACTCACCGGTACCGCGCTACCCTCCGTTCCGCCGCGCCCGGCCACTGGCCGAGAGCTGCGCAGCGGTCGCGTTCGGTAGGCGCTCTTCTCCTCAGTTCATAGGCATCTCACGGGCCTGAAAAGGGAAAGATGAGTGGTGTAATTACACCGGAAATGCGCACGGTGTGATGGTAACATGTAACCACTAGCCATGGCTGTGTATTACCCTGTGTTTTCGGTGACCTGTAGGCTGAAGGGAGCCATGACTCAGCGGAACCGGGGGATGTCGAGATCCACAATCCAGTCACATTTATGCATCGGGAAGGTTCAAGAATCGTCATACCCGGGCGTAAGATATTTCCGTTTCAATCTGATAAATTTTTCATTCTGTGCGGCATCCCCTTTTGTCGGCCCAACCCCCAATTGGTCTGAAATTCCACCCTGCTTCGCGCGATCCCACTGTCTCAGCCCCCCCCCCCCCTCCCTGCCACCTCAGCGGCACCCATCCTGTCCGACCTCACTCCCTGTCAACACCTCAAGTCCCCAGCTGGATCGTCTCGCTCCGTCAGTGTGCACACGTCACTAACGCCCCGTAAAACCCTGATCTATCCCTCCGCCGGCCTCCGTTACTGTGCACACGTCACTAACGCCCCGTAAAACCCTGATCTATCCCCGACCGGCCTCCGTCAGTGTGCACACGTCACTAACGCCCCGTAAAACCCTGATCTATCCCCGACCGGCCTCCGTCAGTGTGCACACGTCACTAACGCCCCGTAAAACCCTGATCTATCCCCGACCGGCCTCCGTCAGTGTGCACACGTCACTAACGCCCCGTAAAACCCTGATCTATCCCCGACCGGCCTCCGTCAGTGTGCACACGTCACTAACGCCCCGTAAAACCCTGATCTATCCCCGACCGGCCTCCGTCAGTGTGCACACGTCACTAACGCCCCGTAAAACCCTGCTCTATCCCCGACCGGCCTCCGTCAGTGTGCACACGTCACTAACGCCCCGTAAAACCCTGATCTATCCCTCCGCCGGCCGACCGAGGCGTTTACGGCCCATTTATCCGCACTATATTCTCCGGCGGTGCGAAAATTCAGCGGCTGCGTCGATTGGCCGCTGTGGAGCCGCCGTTAATGTCGCCGCTGGCTGCCGTATATGGCCGCTGGCGACGGCCGGTCAGATGAAGTAGTCCGCGGAACGGACCCCCCCCCCCCCACGGCTCACTGTGCTGAGGGGCCCATTGGAGCCCGGCGCGTCACGGCGCCGTCTCAGGGACACACCTGAAGGAGCTGGCTTACCGATAGTTTAACCATAGGTCCAGCGCTCAAATGTGTGCAGCAGTGCCACGGAGTCTACTTCTTGTGTTCAGGAATCTACTTTTCTTTGTCTCTATATCTTGCATAATTTTCCTGCCATAACTTAGAATTCCAGCTGATTCTTGACATCCCTGAACCTCTTTCGTTTAACTTCGGCGTCTCTTGCCTGCTCGTCTTTCGGAAGATTCCCGGCCTCATGTCTCCCCCACACGCACTGAACCTCCACACCCTCTCCCCGCCAGACGCCCCCCCCCCCCCCTGCGCCGCCGCTGGCGTTGGGCCGACCCGCTCTGACCGGGCCGTCCTCCACAGCGCTGCTGCCCAACATCCTGCTGCAGATGCGCATGTCGGAGCGCAAGCTGAACCTAGTGACGCACCACTCGGCGCTGCTGCTCGACTTTCTGCAGGAGAGCGCCGAGCAGCTGTTCACGCGCACGCAGTACCGGTAGGTGGTACCCGGCCGCGCCGCCGCCCAGCCGCGGCTCAGCACCAGGCGCACAGTGTGCTGAGGACAGGTTTTAGTGGTCAGAGCGGGCGGCGCACAGTGCTGCGGATGGTGTGAGGGGCAGCGGGCTGCGCAGTGTTTGTGGGTGTACAGTGGCTCTGTGGGATTGTGTGTCGTACCAACATGTGTTTGCATTCATGATCAAAGTCAAGTGTTTATGTGCTGATAGACGTAATAAATGGTATGTTTTTTTCAACTTTAAGTATTGTTTCTTTGTAAACAGCCATACGTCTCCATTGACATGCGAGTGAAACAAACATTTTTGCGTACATGCTAAACCAGAATTGTCTTCCATTTCTTTCAATGTGAGGCGTTATAAGGATATGGAGGGCCGAGCCGTTCACTGCATCATTCTCACCATCTTGTTGGTGCTGAAAATATGTTCCTAAAGCTTTTCCGAAAACTTATGCTTCGAGCTCGCAGCAAACGCTGTGCTTAGTGTCGTATATGTTATGTATTTCCATTATCTGTGAATGTTCTTGTACTCAACCATAAAAAACGCATCGCACTTTTCGATCGTATTGAACCGCGTCAGTCGTAGAGGAGCGCTGCCTATATACTCCCTCCCTTTCCCACTCCAATCACTATGTTCTCCGCCGCGGCCAAAACTCGCGTCCATTTGGCCGTATGACTGCGCTGGCTGGCTCCAGCTCGGATGACCGGCCATCTGCCGACCCCGCGAACCGCCTCACCCCGCCGCCGCCGCCGCCGTTTCATTACGGCCGCCGCCGGCCCAAGTTGGCCGGCTTATGGCCCAAAGTCGGCGGCGCTCTTTTGCAAACGGCCGCCGTAAAATTGACGAACATCTTGTCATAGCCGCGAGCCGTGGGATCATTCAGCGGCAAAGTTCGGGCCGGCAGTGGCGCGGTACCGCGGCCGGGCGGACTGGGAGCCAGAGAAATGATGGCGGAGCTGCGGGTTTCGGGGCCGAGCTGGGTAAGATTTTAGCTAAAAGCTGAGCTAGCGTTGAGTGTCTGCAGTCGTGACGACCGCGGCACTCAGCCGAGTGTCACCGGAATGAGTCCGTCGCTAGAGTGCCGTCGGGGATTTCCATGAGTCCGGTGGAGTGCCCTGCGTCCGGCACTCACGGGTCTGCCGCCTGTATTCGCCACGGTTACGGTGCCGTGTGGGTGCCGGGTGGCAGGTGGGCCGGGGCGGACGCCAATTTGGGGCCGGTCCTCGCTCCACAGTCGCCGTATATACCCGGCACTCGAACCGTCTGCATCGACCGCGCCGTGCGACGAGCTGAGCTGAGCGGCCCCATCGGACTTCTGCGCCCGCATGAAGGGCACTGCCACGCCACGCACCGATCGATTACAAAGTTTTGCTTTTATCTCATTCGGGACCACTTAAAGCATTGCCTGTGCAGGAAAGTTTCTGCAGAAAGCAAAGTGCATCCGATTGCATGCCATCTCTCACTTTGCTCCAAATCGGCTGGAGTGCATCCGAGGGAACGCATCGACAAAGAGTTTGGCTCTGTCGTCCATGTGTCAGCCGTGACCAATATATTTTACGTAGTTGTTATTCAGCGTAGGGCAAAGGAGTTGGTGTCAAGAAGCGATCCTGGCCTGATGCTGTGACCTGACCTGACCGAAGGTGACCTGGCCTGACCCAGTGTGGCCGAGAGCGACCCGTTTGATCTGATCTGACCCCATCTCACCCAAATTTGACCGAACAACGTCCTCAGAACGGCTCTTTTGTTCAACATTTTCTTCTGCACGTGTGCACGTATATATCTCTGCTCCCGGACGACACATCAATATGAATCAAACACTATTCGAAAGTAAATTGGCTGGTGCCGCATTTTCTGACCGGGACGCAGAACAAGTGGCGCAGCCGCTTGTAATGTCTAACATAACCTTGTTTATAACACAGTACTTATCACAGAAATTCGAATTAGACATCGCGACACTGCGAATGCAAAGAACAATTATTACGCTTCATGCTGAAATTCTAAAAATGAACTGAATTAAATAAAAGGTATCGGGTAGGTAGGAACATAGACCACTATACATATAGTGGTCTATGGAAGGAATCATTCCCGCCTTCAATAATTGATGTGCCCTTATCGGTACTGGGTGCATCGGGTCTCGTTTTACTCGTAAATCCATTCAGGTATAAGTGGATTTCTGAGTGTCGATCTGGTTGAAATCCGTGCTAATTTCCATACGGGACAGCGATTTCAGCTTTATCATCAGCCGGCCCCCGGCTAAATGCGCTAATGCGATACATTATGCAGGGGCTTCCGTAGCGTTCATTAGCGTTTTCTATCCGCGATCGCTGCTGATTCGGTGAGAGATTTTCCCTGTGACAGTCGCTGATCCAGCGGTGGATTTTACCCGTGACGCCAGTTCCCAGTTCTGGGACAGACGGACAGGATCCGTCTCGCCGTAGGTATGTCTGTCCCCGCTCGGTAGGTACTCCTGTCCGCCGCCTGCCCCGCACCTGCCTGACGATCCCTCCTCCCACGCGCGCGGCGGTTCTTTCGGCTGTCCGGTCACTTGCCCGGTGTCGCCCCTCCCATAGCCCCTGTCAGTTCCGTGCTCCTCATACAGCCCCTATCAGCGAGGCGCCCCTTCCCCCAGCCCCGTCTGGTGCCCCTCCCCCAGCCCCTGCTATCCCCCTGGGTGCCCCTCCCACAGCCCCTGCTATCCCCTCAGTGCCCCTGCCACCGTCACTGACCGGTGCTCCTCCCACAGTCCTACCCTCCCCTTCCACAGTCCCATCCTCCCCTCCCACAGTCCCACCCTCCCCTCCCACATCCTACCCTCCCCTCCCACAGTCCTACCCTCCCCTCCCACAGTCCTATCCTCCCCTCCCACAGCCGCTGTCCTCCCCGCCTCCCGCCGGGACGAGCCGATGACGCGGCCCATCTCTGAACGCTGATTGGTCGGTCAGACCGCGGCGTAAGATTGACGCCGGCCGCCGACCATCTTTTATTCAGCCAAACTTGTTGATGGTGTTCTGATCTGCTATCACAGATTCGCTTAAGTATTTATTGCGTTTGGGTGTCTGTACTGATTGGCTTCTAAACTATTGAGGGCACCATCATTCATTGAGCGCGGTGTTAATAAATGACGCAGTTGGTAATTGAGCGAGTGCCTCTCAGGTAGCCGGCCGAGATTGCCCAGAAATTGGGTTGACTCGGTTGGAAAGATTCTCTGCGCCGTAAGGCCCGAGCTCGCGTCATATTTCAGCGCTTCATAACTGGGCCGGTGGCCGGCCGGGCTCGGGGACATATCGGCTCGGGCGGAGCGCCGCTCGCCGCCGAATTATCGGCCCGTCGACCGCGGCCGTCGGCGTCGATCCGTCGATGGTGACGGACGTCGGTCGGACTGATTGGAGACTGCGTGCCGGCCGGCCATCGGCAGCGCACCGCCGGTCAATCAGCCTGTGCCGTGTGACCGGCGCGGGCGGCGGGTACCGTGGTCACTGATCACTGATCACTGATCACTGGTCACTAGTCACTGACGGCTGACCGTTCGGAGCGGTCCGACAGCGGTCACCGGGCCACTGCGGGCTATAAGGCCGCCCTCACTGAGAAGTGGCTACTTCCACAGTATAGTATAGTATAGTATAGTGTATTGTTGAGACCATCCACACCGTGGCTATTCAAGTCTCCCGTCATACATGTTGTAAAAGCAAAGTGACGCTAAAATATCGACAAGTTGTACATACACATAATGCCACATTACACACGATAAAACATATACTGCGATAAAAACATGATAAGAAAATGTGGCATTCAAACTTTGCGTCTATCGTAGACTGTATTTCTTCACCCTTCAGACATCTCAACGCGCACACCGACCCGTCCTCTCTCTCTCCCGCCCTGCTCTCCACTGCCCGCCCGTCTCCCAATGTCCAGCCGGGCCGCCCGATATACGGGCCGGCGTGTCCCTGCTGCCGCGCACATGTGTGGCCATAGACCTCCATTTATGACCACTTATGACCCGACGCCGACCCTACGCGACAAGGCTAGAATATTCAATAGAAAAACACAATTCTAAAGAATAGTGTTTTAACTATTGACAACAAACCTTCGGTTACAAACTATGTGAACAAACAGAGAGACACATTCCCCCCTGTTCCTAAAGAACACATCTAACTACAGTTTAACTAATGGGGGATGGGAGCGCCGAAGAGTTGCGGCGCACGCCTGCAGCGCAAACCCCTTCTTAGCACGTCACTATAACTATCGATATTATCTACACTTTCCGCTGGCGCTCTACCTTCGTTCACACGGTCGTTTGACAATCCCTCAGTTTCTGTTTTTACAACTTTCACTGTATGGATCCGCTCCTCTGTTCCGGCACCGCCATCCGCCTCAGCTGCTGCCCGAGGGACCGGCTCGGTCTGCTCGGTCGGCGCGACAGCTGGGGTCAGCTCTGACGGCTCCACCGCCGCCGGCGCCTCAATGGCCAGCTGTCCAGGCACATGGGCGGTCGGAACCGGACAGGCGATCTCCTCTTCCTGCTCATCATCCGTCGAAGCAGCCATTGCGTCGTCACCGTTGTTGGCAAGACGATGACGAATGTTCCGCACGTGCCATGGGACTCCATCCACTTCAATCGTCTGAGCGGATACGACTTTGGTGACAGTGCCCTCCTTTGACACGGCGGTTCACCGATCGCCCCGTTTTCGGACCCACACCGCATCACCGGGCTGATACACACCAGGCTGGCCGGCCGTCTGAGGAGGAGCAGCTGTGTTTCCCTGTGACTGCACGCACAAGTCTCTGCCAGCCTGACGGTAGGCACCATGTATCGGGGCCGTTGTGATATCACGCCCGTCCTTGGGCGTGACATTATATCGGTGCACGGCTTCTGGTACGGTGCATCCCTGACGGGCGGCCATCACTTTGATGGTGCGGTGGTGGCGCTCGATGATGCCATTCCCACCAGGTTCATAGGCCGCGCGATACCTCAGCTCGACGTCCCACCGCACCGCGAACGCCTTCAGCTCTCGACCCTTGAATTCGGTCGCATTATCCATTAGAAGCTCGGCCGGTGCTCCTCGCTCCAAAAACAGAGCCTCGAGTTGTCTGACGATCTCGCTCCCGTCAGAGCGGCGGATCTCACGCCACATGGCGTATCGCGACGGCCCACAGTCAATCACGGTGAGATAGTGTTTTCCGCGGAAATGGGTTACGTCCATTGCCAGCCGCTCCCAGTTGCGCTCGACCGCCAAGGCACCATGCTT